TAATAATAATAATAATAATAATAATAATAATAATAATAATAATAATAGTAGTAGTAATAGTAATAATGTAATAATAAATAAAAATAAATAAAAATAAAAATAAAATAAGGAATCCAGGCATGGTCTATGGAATTGCTACTTCTTCCCCCACCCTCCCTCGTCTAACTCTCAAGGAAGCCGCCTGCCTTTTGAATTTCCCGCCTGAGCCTCCCTTCTCGGGAAAGAAGGGAGGAAGGGAGGGGGAGAAAGCGGTCACCCACGCGCCGGACTCAGCCGCGGCGGGCCCCGCTTCCCTTTCCCTTTCCTCGTCGGAGCGCGTTCGCCCCCCCCCCCCCCCCGCTTCCGATTAGAACGCGAAGTTGTTACTTGGCGTTCCATCCTTAGAACGTTCGCCTGCAGCACTTTCCCCAAACCACGTGGGCCGGGACTGGGCCCTTCGGTAACTTGAGCGATCGGCAAATTTGGGGATGGGGTCGGAGGGGGGGAGGGTTGAAGGGAATTGGGGGGGGGGAATATTACCTGCCGTGTCTTCTCCCCTCACCCACGCCGTCCTCTCTCCCCCCCGCCCTCCCAATTCAACTCACCTCCCTTCTTTACCTATTCGCCGCCTCCGCTTCTAAGTCGGGCCAAGCTTCTCTCTTGCTCTTCTCTCTCTCTCTCTCTCTCTTCACTTCCCCCTCCCCTTTCCCCGGCCTGATCCGGAGGAGCATGCGCACTGGGCGCAGAGGCTGTTTGGAAAGTGGAGAAGTGCCCCCCCTACAGTCCGAAACCTCCCGGATCAGAGGCGAACGCGCAAAAGGTCGAAAGATGCGGCGGGCTTCTTCTATCAAAGTCACGGATCTTCAAACTTGGCAAGTTTTAAGACTTGCGGGCTTCAACTCCCAGAATTCCTGAGTTAACATGACTTGGAGGAGGAATTCTGGGAGTTGAAGTCCACAAGTCTTAAAGTTGCCAAGTTTGAAGACCCCCCTAATACTATCTATTCATTCTTTGCGAATCGAAGGGTCTTCGCTTTTGGGATTAAAAAGTGGGCTTCCCGAAAAGCTATTGGAACTAGGCAACTTGTGTTGGCCAGCTATCCTAAAGAGGGATTTTTACACTAACCCTCTGCTCCTGTTGCAAATCTGCCTTGCATTCGCACACAGGTATGGATGGAGCTGGCAAACGCTGGTTACTCTGTGGCTTAGCGCAGGGGCTCTCCAACCTTGGCAAACTTTAAGCCTGGTGGATTTCAACTCCCCAGCAAAGCTGGCTGGGGAATTCTGGAAGTTGAACTCCTCCAGTGGCCAAGGTTGGAGACCTCTGGCTTGCTGTGTTGGGCTCATCCGTATCCTCAAATGTATTGCGCAAAGCTAGATCCTGGCTAGTACAACCATCTTCCTTTTCGGGAACGGCTGCGGGATTGCTCTCCTTTTTGTCTTTCCTACCAGCGCAATCCCTTATCTATCCAGAAGCCTCTTGCTTGTAGATGCAGAAGTTCCTAATTCAGCCTCACAGTTGATCCATGATCGGTTTCATTAGCATTCTAGTTATTAAGCTGCCAATGTATATACAATAACATACCTTTGCAGTAATCCTCTGCTTTTTTTGCCCTGGCTATCGTTTAATTTTCTCTAGACAAAATGGGAAAAATACTTCACTGGGCCTGATAAAAACAGGGCTCTTTAAAGGGGAGAAATCGAAGTGTTGGTTCTTAATTTGTCAGCCCTTAAAAGCACTTGGGACCTCATTTTTTTTGTTCAATTGGGGTCTCAGGCACTGCCTGGACAAATCCCTGCCAGTTTATTGGCAAGGTTTTCAAGAAGTGGTTTACCATTCCCTGCTTGTTAAGGTTGAAAGGCCCAGTCGTCCAGTTGACTAGTTCTCAAAGGCAGGACTAGAACTCTGTCAATTCGGTTAACCGCTACATCAGACTGCCTCTGTCTGTCATCTTGGGAACTTGCAAATTCATTGGAGGTGCAGGTACCGCCTTGAAAAATCATTTTACAGCAGTCCACTCCAAAGTCTCCAGCTTACTCAATTGCCAATTGGTATTTGAATAGATACAAGGGTGGTTTGATGAGTAAGTTTTGGAAAACAGGTATTGCATGTAATACAGGAACAGAATGTCTTTCACAATCTGGTGCTATCACCTTCTCTTACAGGGTTGCTCTACACAACCAGGAAAAAAGGCTTTTGTTGTTAGTTGTGGAAGTCATGTCCAACCCATTGTGACCCCATGGACAGCATTCCTCCAGGCCTTCATATCCTTTATCATTTTATGGAGCTCACTCTGTTTCAGTGACTCCATCCAGCCACCTCATTCTCTGCCGTTCCCTTCTTTTGCCCTCAATCGTTCCCAGCATTAGGTTCTTCTCCAGGGAGTCCTTTCTTCTCATTAGGTGGCCAAAGTATTT